CCCCCCTCACATAGCCAACATCGCCCAAGGTCGACGCTAATATCGTCAGAAAATGAATTTAAAATCTGCGCGCAATTTCATAACGAATCGCATGGTTTCTACTTCGTTTTAAATCCACGACTGACAACACAGATCATAAACTTAGTTCTTCATTCCCTTCTTGCGTTATTTGATCAGAAATTTTGTAAAAATTTTAGTATAGATGATCAAGCTTGTGGATTACATTACAAAAAATATTAGGAATTATTCAAAGCTTTTCAGTTTATTTTTCACTTTTTATTTCAACAAAATATCAACAGAGGATCAGAAGATTAAAGTTGCGTTGCCGTACGTCATCATAAATTTTTCATGGGGAAAAAACATTGTGATCAGATCTTGCTACAGGTCCCCTGACGGAATAGTTTTCTTGATTTTGGTAACAAGAATAACTAGAGGTAACAGGTAACTCTGTAGCAATGCGGCCCGTAGAATTTTCTACTAGTAGTGCATAATCTCTCCGTCGATTTCAATAATGATAATAGGATCCTTTCCCTCTTCGTATATGCTCACTATACTGTGGAAGGGGCCGTCTTTAGTGCCCTGAGGTATTTTTTCATCTTTGGGTAATGGATAGTCTTTTACTTCGAAATTGTCACCCTGAAAAAGTTATAATCCATTGATTATAAATCCGTTCTGGAGGCAATATATATCATCTAGTCGTAATGATCAACTTTTTGAAATAAAAAATCTTTCGTTACAGGGAGAAAAAAAATGAACAAAAAATTTCTATGTAACGAAACCTGCTGAACGATGTTCGCTGAAAATTCGCAGAAAATGCAATTGGATTTATTGTTAAAAAAATTTTACTGTGCTTTTGAGAAAAATTTCTTTGCAAACGGGAAAATGCATCCTTTGCCTCACATTTCCTCCTGATTTTAAATGAAAATTTCTGGAATACAATTCTGCACAGTAAATTATTGTGTGATTTGTTCTCTGTGCAGTTAGATCTTTTGTGTTGTAATGAAATCATTGTTCTTGTCACTATTGTATCCATTGTTGTGGTGGAATCTTACCGCTTTGACTGGACACTCTGTCGGAAACTGACCGTCGGGTAATCCATGTTCAATCAGATCTTTACCCATGCTGTCATCGTCGAATACATCACATAGGTCCATCTCTGCCTCAGGGAGGTCATCGCCATCCAATGATATTTCAAGTTTTACCTGCAATCCAAGAGCAATTTATTACAATGAAAGGACAACACAAAAACGTTATGAATATAGTATAATTCAACACAAGTGTAAAGTGATGAAAATGATTTTTTTTCTCTACGCTGAGAATCTCCCTATAAATTCGTGTCTCAATCGAATTTCATTGACAGAATTAAAAATGTTTTTCAATTTAGGAGCAAAAAATTCTTGCCACGCACACCTAAAGATTGAGGCAAATCGTTCCATTCTTGTGACAAAAATGTATAGTTTTCATATAATTCATATATTATCGGATTGTCATAATTAACTATCTATTCCATGAAGAATGGAAGAAATATTGAATATTCAAGGAAAAATTTTCATTTTCATATGGATTTTTCACGTTAATAATGAATTGAAAGTTGATCGCTCGAATGTATGTACGCTGCCAGGGCCGATAAGCACAGCCCGGCAGTCACAAGAGGCTGCTAATGTGCAAGAGAGACGGTGTAAGAGTGAGTGAGAGACATGAAAACTTCTCTGCTGTGGCGTCTCAAGAACCCTACTCTCGAATCGTTGCCGTGTTACGTAACAAATCGAACGCATACGTTCAGCCTCTCACCGATTCGAGAATAGACCTCCAGTCCGTAGCTGTGTGAAATTGGCACCCGACATTGACCGATTGAAAATTTCGACTGTGCATTCGAAGCAGATGGACGCGTAGATGATTGTAGTAGAAATTTTTTCGTTTGTAGTCGAACCGTTACTATAGAATTGATTTTTTTGTCACTGCTGCTACGTTCAGCCCGTGTCGAAAAGTGCCTTTTCGTTTACTAGTAAACGAAAAGTCGAAACTTGTAAACGAAAAGACTTTTCGTTAACTAGTAAACGAAAAATGGCACAGTTCGGCACTCGCTGAACGTAACATCACTAACAAAAACTATAGTTCGGATACACTGTTATGTCCTACCGAAGTAACTAGGAGGACAGTAGCGCCAATAAATTTTAGAGTGCCAATTTTTGACTGTAGATTCGTTTGCCGCCAAAGCTCTGATGAGCACTCCATCGAAGTCCAATTGTTTAATCCCAGAATATTTGGTTGGAAGGGTTGAATTGTGAAATAAATTCAACACAAGTGCTTAAGAGAGCACACAAACACTTTTATTCAAAATACTTCAACTTCAGACTTTAAACTTTGCACTACAAAAAAAAATGAATTTAATAAACTCTAGAAAAACTCTACTGAAAAACTATTTGAAGAGAGAAGCTGGAAGCTGAAGGCTTCACCACCAATTTCCACGATGGAACTGACTTAAACTTAAACTTAACTCCAAGGGTTGGGTCCGCAACCCCACTGGACCAAAAGTTGCGCGCGCAATCCCGGCCCAGGGGAGAGGGAAAAGTGAAATTCAAGGAAAAGCGGGGAAATGAAAAAAGGAGAAGAAGGGGAGCGTGTGACGTCGTGAAACTTCGTCGCGAAGGGTCTCAGGCCCTCAGCCTAGCGAAACAATGAACAAAGGAGAGCCCACACATGTTGGTCACGTGAAACAGAGAGACTTTCGAAATAACCAGAACTGAGATTTTACGACATGGGGCCGTAACCGTTCAATTTATTTTCTTCTCTAAATTTTGGATTTTTGAGGAAAGTGTTTACTCAACGAGAATTTTGGAGGCTTGTAAATTATAAGAACAAAACTCAAGTATTTGACATTTATTATTTCCGTAACGGTTTTTCTCACGCTTGCGATGCTGTTTTTCGTTCTCTTTGTCCATTGTATTCCAGACTTTCTTTATTCTTCTATTTCTGGTATATTTTTAATTTTCTGAACTATTTAAATTATTTTCCAACAATAATTTGAATCTCGCGGACTGCTATGGCCGATTAATAGCCCCATCTATAAATTTCAACGTCAAGACATCACATCAGGTGCGACGGGGTGTTTTAACTCGTGTGATTGGCAGCCCTCGGGCCGCCAACTTCACACTCGTTGCCACCCCGTCGCACTTGTATCGAAATATACTATTTTAATACTTTAAGGATAAAATTAATCGATAGACCGCCGGAGACATGATATTCTACATCGGAATGATTTGTAGTTTATTGTAGTTGCAGCAAAATTTTCATTTACGTTAAAAATATTCATAGATCTTCAATAACCCCAGAATGACGCTAGAATTACTGTTGAGAGCTTCGCTCGTGTTCCCACCGTATCAAGAATGGAATATAGTTGATTGTAGCGAAAACAATTTTAAGTTCGACACGAGGTGAACGTAGCAACCGTGTCCAAATAGTATACTTCGACACGAGTGAGGAAAAGTGGTTTTTGGTTGCTGAAGGCGAGTGCTACCCTCCCACGGGTCAAAGAACACTTTTCCCATGAGTCTTAAACGCTATTGTTCATCACGTTGTGTGTAAAGTGACATTTTACGCTCTAGAGTGTAGAGGGACATTTTACGCACGGTGCGCAAAATGTCACTTTACACACAACGTGATGAACGCGTTTAAAACTCATGGGAAAAGTGTTCTTTGACCCGTGAGAGGGTAGCATTCGCCTTCAGCAAGCAAAAACCCTTTTTCCTCATTCGTGTCGAAGTATACTCTATTTCGACACGGCTGCTACGTTCAGCTCGTATCGAACTGAAAATTGTTTTCGCTACAATCAACTACATTCCATTCTTGATACGGTGGGAACATGAGCGAAGCTCTCAACAGTACAATTCTAGCGTCATTCTGGGGTTATTAATGATCTATGAATATTTTTAACGTAAATGAAAATTTTGCTGCAACTACAATAAACTACAAATCATTCCGATGTAGAATATCATGTCTCCGGCGGTCTATCGATTAATGTTATCCTTAAGGTATTTAAAGAATCAATTCTGGAGTAACGGTTCGACTACAAACGAAAAAATTTCTACTACAATCATCTACGTGTCCATCTGCTTCGAATTCACAATCGAAATTTTCAATCGGTCAATGTCGGTTGCCAACTCCACACAGCTCCAGTCCGTTTGAGGCTTCCAAAAAGTGCACTTTTCAAATTCAATCAACAATTTCTCATTGCAAAATGAGAGTTGGAGGATTATAATTGACCGCATGGAGAAAATATAAATGCGCAGTTATATCTCAAATATGTCCCTCATACCTGCGGCAAAATATACAATATCCGAGATGTATAATATATAATATATAATATATAGTATATAATATATAATATGTAATATATAATATATAGCACATAATATATCATATATATCTCGGATATATTTTACATATAATTTAGATATAATCACCGGAGAAATATTTTTTCTGTATGATAGTGGATAATGTCATCGGCGATAATACTTTGTCACTTGGTCTGTGAAGCGTTGCCTACCCAATCACCGTTCTCGGACTATAATGACGACAAATACTGTTCGATACACGGCCGTGAACCTGTAACCTTATATTCGCCAGAAAAGTTCCTCACGGCCTAGTGTGGAAATATATAGTACATATCCCCGTATGACATACCATATGTTATGTCACGGGACCCTAGTGTCATAAAAATTATTCTCGAAATTTTTACGTTTAAATTCAGAGAAAAACTACTAAGAAATGCGTATGTTCCCGAACGGCCACATCCTAATTTTTTAATCTGTATTTCCAATTACCTTATGATTTTTATTGTTGAAATCTGTCTCTTTCCCGAAACTACTTGACATGTCAAATTTAATATGGGTCAATTCCATATATTTTTCAAATTTATAAAGAATATATAAAAAAAAATATGTAAACCATTTTTTTTTTCATGTCAATTGAGCCAATTTAAGATATTTTTAAATATATTTTTCAAAATATAAATGTTTCCATGTGGGGTAACAAACTATAAAAGAATAAGATTTTCACGTTAGTCTGATATCATAACTGAATGATATCCGGCATAATCAATATTGTAAAGAGACAATACTCAAAAATATGGAGATATTTATGAATATAGTCATGCAAAATCCCATACATAAATTACAATTAAAATCTTGAGACATGAAAAACTTACTTTCATGTTAGCAGGAAGTTCTGTTTTGAACGGAGTTTTGAATGACATTTTTTCACCAGAAGAATGAATATCCGCCTGCCATTGACTGAAATATGGATTGTCGGCAATATCATTTATTTTGACTTTCTGGACGATGACTTTTTGGTTTTCCTGTTAATTAAATTAGGAAAATAAAAATTATAGTTGTCTCAAACTGGTTTGTAGAATAATTAAAGAGAATTGAAATCTTACTTGTCCGTAGACTATCCCAACCGCCGTGCCAATAATGAACAGAGCGCAATGAATTCCTGTCATATTGTCCTAAATTTCTTCAATGGAAAGAGAATGGATTGTAACAGTAGAGCGAAGAGAACGAGACTGATTGCTTTTTCCCCGACTCCTCATTTATATAAAATCCACAACAATTGTTGATCCTATGTTTATTCCATTTCTTTTATATAATGAAATAAACGCAATTAGGTTCTGATTGCGTGTGATAAATTCATGATGATTGTCACCATTGTTTCTTAGAGGTTGAACATGACACCGGAAGTTTATAATTGAATGGATAAAAAATATAATGCGTTAGTGCACTTGAAGATCATGAGAAAATGTGAGTTTTCAAATAGAGATGCCATTGAAGGTGATAATTTCTTCTCAATGCGTGAATTTTTTCGACTATTCGGTCCAAGCGATACGTGTTTAAGGACTCATCACTCGGCGTCAGAAATTTCTCAGGCAATTATCATCGCCAAGAGTCCGAATGGCATAACACAAGGAGAGGATATGCTGCATTATAATTATCGTTTATTTAAAATCCTAGGCCTTGAGTGACAAGTTCGCTCTGTTCTACTTAATCGCGGCTGGTGAAGAAATAAATTTGATTGTTCTCATGATTTATAACTCTTGTCAATTACCGGTAGAGTCTAATAAGGAGCCAATCAAGGATTACATGAGCATACTCCCTATAATATAGGGCCAGGCAAAGTATGCGCTCGGAGCAAATCGTGCTCCCGACCTCAATTAATGTGTTTCAATGGAGTGAATAGAGGGCATTGTATCGGGCGAGAAGGGCCTTTACGACCCGGATCATAAACGCCCATCCACTCTGCTTGACCCAGTCTATTCGACCCAGCGCAAAGTGGGGGTAGCACGACTGGAAAGGGAGAGAGCACGGTAGAATTGGAAGATGTGAATTTCTTCTTTTTGACATGACATATATTATACTTTTTGATATGAAATATTAATTTCATATCAAAAAGCATAATATTTAAGCTTAATATTTATTAAGGAAAGTTGATTCATAAACTAGTGATATAAAAAAATTTAAAAGACCTTCTTTCTTTAAAATTACTCATTATATACATCAGCGGATCCGCGTTAAATCAGCAGACCAAAACAGTTGATGCTGGGGATTTTGGATTCAATTTTTTTCTGAAATGGATAAAAACTTTGAAAAAAAGTTGAAAAATATTGATATTTGAAGGTGTTACCATTTTTTTTTAAATTTTTTTTCAATGGTTTTTGTTTGCTCTAAATTAGCTCAATATCTTAGTGCGGTTTTAAGCCCGTATTAAAAAATTCCCCCTGCCGAAACAAAAAATTTCGTCAGAAACTCAAAAAACGGAAATTTGACGGAGTAAGCTTCATAAAATTTTCAAAAATTTGAAATGAAAATTTCAGGTCTTTTCGACGATGATAAAATCGTAAGAAACTTCAGCCTTCAAACTATCAACAAATATCAATTAGGAAACGCACGATCTGCTTGATTTTTTTTCAATAAAATTGAAAAATTCAACATTTTTAATAGAAATTCAATCAAATTTTTTTGAGAAAATGCGAGATGGTTTTATTAAATATTCTTGTATAATGTGTAACGAACCACTTGTCTATTGTCTTTCTGAAATGCAAGCGTTCAACCAGTGGTAGACCGAATGAATCGGAATACCCTCGGAGAAATGCCTCTTTAGCTCAAGAGATTTCCAGGATTCGTTTTATTTGAGGGATACTGGTGCAAATACAAAACTCACTACGAAACTGTTTGTTTAAAACGGAAAATAATAATAATGTTTATTCAATTTTAAACTCTAATACTGTTACATACGAATTTTACGGACTTTGTCCCTTTTATAACCTTATCTTCTTGTTAACAATTTCTGCGTACCTTTTGGGGGGGGGTACCCAATTTTCTCTTTTTCTAATCTCAAGTTTCGAAAATTCAATGACGTTTTAGTCTACACAAGTCAAGAGTTATTGCTTCTAATAAATTTACGAAATCAATTTATGAAATCCAGTTTCCACTGAAATACCATAACCTTTTATTTCAAGAATAGTTTTCTCCTATTCTTTATCTAAGACATCCAGTACTAAACTGAAATATCAAGCCTTTTTGTCTACTATCTTTTCTGAAATCCAGTTTCTATACTGAAATAACAGAGCCTTTAACCTTTTATTTAAATTTAGTCAAATTTCCTCTCGTTTCGTACTCTCTACAATTCCCTTTTTCCTAGACCTCTGCTGCCTTCTGGTACCCTCCCTGAAACTGTCCCCGGGAGCATAACCCACCGGTTCTAGTTTCCTAACGCCGTCCCGGGGTAGAGCCCCACCGGAACAGAGTACCCTACGTGACCGTCCCCGGGGTAGTACACCCGCTGGTTCTCAGTCAACCTAACACTGTACCGGGGTAGAGCCCCACCGATACAGGTATCCTATCGTTAATTACCCCTGGGGTAATACGTCTACTGTCTGTGCTCCAGGAGAGGGAAGATCCAAGGGGAGAATCACCGCACTTGGTTTCAGGTTAGGAATGGTCAAGGGGAGTGTCGCCGCACTTGACCGGACAAGGATACTAAGGAGAGTGTCGCCGCACTTGGTTTCAGGTTAGGAATGGTCAAGGGGAGTGTCGCCGCACTTGACCGGACAAGGATACTAAGGAGAGTGTCGCCGCACTTGGTTTCAGGTTAGGAATGGTCAAGGGGAGTGTCGCCGCACTTGACCGGAGGTTCGGGATACTACTAGGGAAGGTGTCCACTAGTAGAGGAAGAGTCCGTTGCCAGACTGATTTGTCGTTGCGAGGTGCCTGCTTTTATAGGCTCTCGACCCCGCCAACTAGCCTTCCCCCACTCTACGACTCACTCTCCCTCCCTGACTTTTACGCGCGAAGTGGACCACGGTTCCCGCGCTCGCTTGGCGCCACCTATTCTGATGGCGCGCCCTTTTCATTTAAATTTGAATTATTTCTCTTTTACTCATATTTTCTTTTTTTTTTCATATTTTTCTTCTCTTTTCCCTCTATCTTTTTGACTCTCCTGAATTAATTTAATTTCTTCAGTAAATTTCTTTACTCCTTTTAAATTAAATTCTTTTGATAATTCTCTCGTATTTAAATTCTGTTAGTTCGTTGTGACGGTCGTCACAAATGTTGATATGGATAGACATTTCATAACCAATGAATTGCATAAAAAAGCAAAATAATTTTTTTGTCATTCCGGCCGTAAGACAGCGTTTCACGGAATCTCTGCCTACGGCCGTCATGACAAAGAATATTCTTCGTCATACGGCAAAAAAAAACTTTTCTGACGAATATGATTGCAGCCCTCGCCTTCGGCTCGTGCTGCAAACCTCATATTTGCCAGAAAAGCTTTTTTCGGCCTAATGACGAAATATACTATTATGGAGTTTTTACTGGATTCTTAGTTTCTTCATACGCCACTTGGGGCGCTCTTCATGGAACGCTCCCCACAACAATGACTCTGGGGCCCCCACTATCATCGTACTAAGGCCCCTATAATTGGAATGGTCATAAACTTTATGAGGCTCCTAATGCATATTTATGAGGTTACTCCGAGCTACCTGGACTTTACCCATCCTGCCCTATATTGATAACACGTATTTTCAGGAGTCTTCACCCCCCCCCTTATTATAACATAAAAATTGAATGGGTGCAGACTGGCAATGCCAGTCTGGCATTATCATTCTTCACAGAGGAGGAAAAGTTTTGATTTTCAGGAAAACGTTACTGGTGTTCAGGGAACCATTTCTAATTATTACGAATAAATCCCCAATTGAGATTCGCGATTGTGGAATTCAATGAGTGAGGAATTTAATGATTTTATAATTACAATGAAAGATGTTATTTTCGACCGATATATTTACATTTTGTATTATGCCCGGGGTATTTACTCGGTCAAATCGTACATGTTTTCAAGGTATATATTACATGGAAAGCGGGATGCTAGATGCTATCTTTCGACTTTCAGGACCTCTACATGAGGGAAACAATTAAATAATTATCAGCGCACAAATTAATTGATAGGGGTATTCATCTCCAATAGATGTAAATCAAACCAGATGTTCATAGGGATAGTAGAGAAATAAGTTCACAACATCGATTTAATTATCATCGTGCGATGTTTCTCTCAATATTTTAGCTTCATTAGGCTCTTGGCGTAAACAATGCATGCACGGAGAGAAATATTCAATAAAAATTACGTATCTTTTCCGTAATTCCGGAGCGCAATGTGGTTGTAGGAAATTTTACAGAACTGCCACGGAATTTTTCCACGGCGTTCGGTAATTTTTATCTGAATCTCCTGTGAAAAATTACGATACCGTCACTTAAATTTTCTGAGTCCATTCCGTAATCGATGAGCGAACTGTGAGTTCCGTAATTTTTACTGAACATTTCTCTCCGTGCATGGTCCTAAACGCTAACAATAATAATAGTACGGGAGTATCTATTTGTGAAAAACGGCGCGCTGCGGCGTTTCCCTCATATCAACCGATCTAGACTTAACGTCGTAGTTCTGGTCTCTCGATTCTTATTGGTCGAGGCGGGCGATCGATGAGGTGATGAATTCTTCGGTGGCTTTCCCCCGCGTTTCGCCCTTTATGTTGCGAGGTTAATCGGGAATATTCTAAGGCGATATTCTATTTGTTACATGAACGTCCTCTCTTTTTCCAAGAATATATTCTTTTATTGCTTATTTCCGGGTGTGATTTCCTAAAACTGTGTCCACCTCAGAATGGATCAATAACTCCAATGAGTCGCTGCGATTTTGTCACTTACCGTCTTTTATGAAATTCATCAAATGTGAATTCGATATAATAACACACTCTTCACTTATTAACTTCCCGACCGGAAGGGAGGAAGTTATTGTAATGACCCCGAAAATCGAATGTGGAATTTCGATGATTTCTCCACGTTTCTCTACCTCCGGAATCATCCTGATACATTTTTGAAGACATGTCTGTATGTGTGTGTATGTGTGTGTGTGTTGTGGACAACCGTATCTTGAGTGAGAGCGAGAGGGAAAGGAAATCTACCTGCTGACTCTTACCTGACCGTTACCAGTCACGACTGGAAGTCACTGTGATGATGAGACAAACCGG